TAAAATAGATGCAAATTTTTGATTGTTAATTGTTAAATGTAGAATTGATTATTAATTAACAACATCATTAATAAGTAGATTGTAAAATTGATAAATGTATTTATTTTTAATTTTATTGTATAATTATCATAAACAAATGTGAATTACTACTGTAATTAATAAGTTTCAAATAATATAAAATAAGTTATTTGTTTGCTTTAATCATTTTAATTAAATTATAATAGGTATAATTTAAGTAAAAGTAAATTTTTATTGATTTCACGTGAAATATATCATATAAATAATTTAGTAACAAAATTGGTACAATATGTGTTATTACATGTAAAATATAATAAAACACAAAAATAACATTAACGCTAACTTGTAAGTTAACTAAGGTGTGACATTTATTGAAAATGTGTCTATCTATGGCATACATAATTATAATTATAACATACATGGAATTTTAGAAAAAGTAGTTTATTAATAATTATATTAAAAATTAAACATAAACATAATATATTACATTGTGTAATTGTGCTATTTTTAAATTATTTATAAAAATTAAAACTTTATGATGGTCAAAATAACTTAACATCGGAGTTGAGATTTATTAAAAAGAGTATTTTTATTTTTATTAAAGCACTATACATTGCAAAAATAAATAACAATCAATTAACTCAATAAAAATATTGTTAATTATTAATTGTTATTATTAATTAAAAGATGTGAGATGAAACAAAAACAATAATATTTAAAATCTAGATATCTAGATTCTAGATAGATAATTATTATTGTTATTTACTAATTTTATATTTTATAAACTTTAAACTTGATTTTTTAAAATATATTGATATTAAAAATAAACTTTTAAAAATACAACTGTGTATTTAATAATACATTACAGTAGTTGCACATTACATTTGCACAGCACCCCAACTGGCTCGGGGGCCAAATATGGGCCAAGCCTTGTGTTGCGGCGATTTCTGGTAGGCCTTAATGGCCGGCAAGGCTTCAAATCTGTCCAAATACTGGCCAATAGTTTGGTATTTGCCGATAGTGTCGGGAGTGAATCGTTTCAACCAATCCAACACATCATACGCCAGAAAGTCTACGTAAGACAACTGTCCGCCGATTAGCCACTGTTTGTCTCCCAAGTACTTCACCAACAGATCCAACTGCGGCTCAAGAGTGGCGGCCAAGTAGTCGGCCCTTTTGCTCTCGTAGTCCTTATTCATCAGTATGTTTGTGACGAACCCTTGTCTCACATCCAGCACCTGTTGCTCCACCAACTCTTGCCGCGCCTGTCGGGGCTCATCCCTGGCCGCCAGTCCGTGCTTTCGGGCCAAATAGCGTAGGATTGTTAGACTTTGGGTCAGTTTTGTGTCGCCGTCGATATAGTAGGGGAGGTTCGGGAAGTCCAGACCCAGCGATGGCTTGTCCACTGATTTCCACGCGTCGACGTCTGTAAACACATACCGTTTGTCCGCGAAGTCTACGGCCGAGTAGTGCAACAAATACCGTATGGGTTCGGCCAGACCTCTCAGGTCCCAATAACCGAGCACTGGTTTGCCAGACATTATGGTAAATAAATTTTTAACTGATTTAAATTAATTTACAGTAAAAAATAAACTTATATTTTATATAAGGATTTATAACAGGACTGATCAACACGTTTGATAAAAGTGATAGATCTATGAATTCAAACATTTGCTTATATACCCGTATGTGTAGTGTTTGGTGCAGTTTAGTGCAAACTTTACATGATATAAATTGTATTGTGCAAAAAACATCCTATTACATTTATTATGGCATTCACAGTTCATTTTTAATCAACGCCACTTAAATACCGGTTTATTTGCGCCAAAGTTTGTTTTAAGTGTTTGTGCACTAAAATAGTACTTATCATAGATCTTGTCTATCTTATTGAAATGCAATGATGGTAACAATAATCACCACTATGAAGTAAAGTTATTTTTACGTATTTTGCGCAAAGCACTGATGATTACATAGTTAGTGAGATAGCTAGAAATACCTGAGACCGACCTTGATCAACAAGTCTATCCCAATGCCTTCAGAGCTACCTGTAGTTGTTTTTTATTTTCACACTTTCATCCATGCTGCTTTGTTACTATGGTTAGCAATTTTAGTTTATTGTAGTTATTTTGTTTTAACATAATTTACATTGACTGATTTATTAACCACATTTTAAATTAATATAAATTATTAAACAGTAAAACACTTTTTATTCATAATTCATAAAATAATAAACAATTACATTAACGTAAAAACAAATCAATACACAATTAAATTAAACAAAACACTCAAACAAAATTACATATAAACAATATACAATTACCCTGGTTCAAATAATGAAATACTCGTGTATAAATAAATTAAATCATAAATAATAATGAACGCAAGAATTATTACCACAAAAAAATGATTTCTGTAAATATTATAATTAAACTAAAATACAATTAATTCAAATACAAAAAACATACAAAAAGTGCATTACATTTATTGTGAGCCCCATTTGACAATCGGGCCAAACAGTGGCCACTGTTTGTAATCACCGGAGCTCTGGTATGTCTTAATGGCCGGCAGCGCTTCAAAGCGATCCAAATACTGACCAACAGTCGGGAACTTACCGATAGTGTCGGGAGTGAATCGTTTCAACCAATCTAGTGTCTCATACGCCAAAAAGTCTACATAAGACAACTGTCCACCGGTTAGCCAATTATTGGCGCCCAAGTACTTCACCAACAGATCCAACTGCGGCTCAAGAGTACCGGTGCTATAGTCGGCCCGTTTGGCCTCCCAATCATCGGCCATAATCACCATAAACAGCGCCAGTCGTATGTCCTCCAGCTGTTGCTCGACCACCTCCTGGCGGGCCCGCCCGGCCTCGTCCGGCGCCACCAGTCCGTGCTTACGACCCAAATGGCGCAAAATGGCCAGACTTTGGCTCAGTTTTAGGTCGCCATCGATATAGTAGGGAAGGTTAGGAAAGGGCAGTCCCAGCGACGACTTGTCCGACTCCC